CCCCCCCGCCCCCCGCTCTTGACTCACCAGCGCTCTGTTTCCCATCAATCCTCTTGCCCATCGCGTCGATGCGGTTGCGCGAGACCTCGGCATGCACGTCATCCTGATGCTCGCCCGAAATGTCCATGATGTCGAGCGAGAGCACTGTGCGAGAGAGAGAGAGAGGCGATCGAGGGGGGTCAGCGAAAGACGGGCCTTTCTTTTTGGCCGGAGCTCTGAAGCGACATGAGCGCGGGGCTACGGCAACCTGAAGCAAAGTGTGGGTATGCCGTAGAGAGGGAGGGCCAAAAGCTAGCTTTTGAGCTCACACAGAGAGCGGGATGCGAGCACCGTCGCTTCAGCAGCGACTGGCGCTGTCTCAGTAGGGCGTAGCTTTGCAAACGGCAATGCCCTCCTCGTGCCCTCGATCCTCGCCGTTCTCTCTTCCGCAGCAAAGAAAACTCACGATAGCAAGGCACCCGGGGGAAAGTAACGTCGATCTTCACCGCCAGCTTCTCGCCTCTGCTGCGGTCTACCTCAAGCGCCACGTCCTCTGCGATGCGGCGGTACGAGGCAAACTCGGCCAGCGTGAGCGTGAGGATGAGAAAGAGCGAGGCGAGCGAGAGCAGGGCACCCGAGGTGGTGCGGACCCTGTAGGGGTCGAGAGTCTGAGAACACGGGGGTCAGCGATGCGGATGCGGAGGAGAGAGAGAGAGAGAGAGAAGTGCAGAAGAAGGCACAAGGCCTGGCAGCTTGAGGTCGAGGGCGCAGCGTGTGCTCGAGACCATGTAGAGAGCACTGTGCGCCCTTGCCAGGCAGCTGCTGGCTCCGCTCGCGTGCTGAACGTAACCAGCAGGACGCACAACTCTTGCTGCATCTCTTTTCGTCACATTCGCTTCTCTGTGAAGCGGCCTTGCCCGAAGCGGCAGCTCAAGCGCCCGCCGCCCCCCATCGCACTCCGCTCCCCCTCGCCCGCGCACCTTGGCCCTCCTCTTCCCAAAGCCCTCAAGCTCGCCCAAGCTCCAAGCTGCGAGCGGGCCTGCATGTGCAGTGCCCTCGCAGGCCCTACATCCGTACCCCTTCACAGCGCGAGCGACAGACGGCCAAACGCACCTTGCCGAATGCATCCAGGCCGCGCAGGGAGGCAAAGGCGCCATTCTTGCCCATCTTTGGCCTTTCTTTCCCCTCTCTCTCTCTCTCTCTGTAGCGCAGGCGCAAGGGTCTGAGTGCCTAGGCTAGGACGTGATGGGGCGCTGAAGACGCGGTATAGAAGAGCAGTGCCGAGGCGCGTTGTGGGAGGAGAATGTCGGGGCGTGAGGACGTGAGAAGGAGGAGAGGGGCACGAAGCAAGCAAGCGATGGCCGTGCGCCGCGCCGCCGCGCATCTCGCCGCGCTCCCCGCGCGCGCGCGCGCCGCGGGGCAAGGCAGCGGCACGCCTGCTGCTGGCCGGCGCGCGTGCTGGTGCTTCTCGCGCGCGCTTGTGCTCCGCCCTCGCTCGCTCTCCGCTCCTCAAGCACCGACCAACGGTGTGATTCAAGGCTCTTCTTGAGGCGCCAGAGTGACACTCATGAGGCTGAGCACCAATGCATTACAGGCGTCGGCGCTTCATCCCTGCCGCTGTCGTCGCGCGCGGCACGGCAAGCAGAGCGTGGGGGCACTTTGAGGAGAGGGGCGCGGGGGGCGTCGATCGCGCTTGCTCTGCGGTTTGCCTCTCTCACACAGCCAGCCCACGGGAGAGAGCACCTGCAGCGTGCCGCATGTGCTTCTTCTCC